CGCCTCATTGGAACCAAAGATGCTCCCAATGGTCTTATAACTTAGGGGTTTACCAGCGTTTTAGGAGCCCTATGTCCGGAATGGGGTCAAAGGCAAATATTAGAACAAGAAGAGATGCTCCCAGTGCTTGTGTCATTTAGGAACTTCCAAGGGTGTCAGGAGCTCTGCGCCAGGACCCAGAGACAGCAGCCAATGTATATATTTGCTCCTGTCTTACACCATCATTCCACATCTCCAGTAATAATGATGCCTCCTTTTTACAGTGCATGCCAGAAACAAAGCTGGGACCACAGCGGCACTGCTGGGCGTGGGTGTGTGTGTGTGTGTGTGTGTGTGTGTTGGGGGGTGGGTTAGTGGAGGAAGCCACACAGTGTGAAAATGAAGCAGGTCCTCGCCCCGGTGGGGGTGGGGGGTGGCGGGTGGGAAAGCCTGAGTCGTGAAGGGTGCAAGACATTTCTTCCCTCTCCAGCTGTACCTACTTCCTGTCGCCTCTCCCCAGATCCTGATTCCGGCCTTGATGGTAACCGCAGAGAAGGACATAGTGCTTGTTCCCAAGATGTCCGAGCACATGGAGGACTGGGTGAGGGAATGGCGCTGTGCTGGGGCCGTCGGGGCTTCCCAGGGGAGGGCACGGGGTCTCAGAGGCACGACAGTGAGATGTTTGGTTCAAGAACTTGTTTGACAAGGGGCTTCATCAGTAGCATCGCCGTCACCTCTTGGGAGCAACAGTGGCTGACGCTTCCTTTATCCTGCACTGACGGAGGCTCATTCATTCACTCATTCATTCACTCATCTGTTCATTTCACAGGCTTTTACTGTGCACTTAAATGTATTGGGACCGTGCTAGATACCGCGGTGGTATCTGCACCCTCAGGGAGTGCTCTGTCCTTCTGCTAATCCCGTACACGGGAGAGGCGCGAAGAAGAGGGCATGCTTGGGAACGAGGGCTTCACAGAGGTGCTGCCCATTGCATGTGGCCTTGCCGGGCAGAGAGAGAGAACACGGGGCGAAGGACACAGGGTGTCGGGAGGCGAGGAGCGTGCATGCTTGGAGAATGGCAGGAGCTTGATAAGGCTGAAGACCTTGCTGAGCCCGTGGGGCCAGGCTGTGTGGACCCAGTGGGCAGAGAGCTACTGAATGGGGCGCAATGGGCATCAGACTGTAGGTGGGAATTTCACTCTGCACAGTGTGGTCGGTAGCCACTAGGGAGGCCTGCAAGTGCTTGACCGCGGGCTGGCTAAATGCTGAGAGCAGCCTGTCTGCCCTTGGCTGTAGCTCTGTTAGCACCATCAGACACAGCGGAGAGGGTGCATTAAGTCGGATGCTGCAGAGGCCGCCCCTCACAGGCTCTGGATCCAGCCGATGAAGAGCTAGAAAGCTCTGAGAGCCCTCGGGGGCTCATCTCTCTGCTCCTGACCCCTGAAGATTCTGTAGAGACACCGGTCCTTCGCATGGCCAGTCCTTGGAACTGCCCGCTAACCTCACTGAGGTTTGTGGGCTTGGGAGGGGCAGCTCCTGCCTCTGGGAGGAAGGCCACGTTTTTTTCCCCAGCATTTCCCACATCTTGTCACCGTTCAAGGCTGCGTCGGGAAGAAAAGCACATGTCCCTAACTGCGGCACTGCTCTCCCTCTCATTCCTCGGTGCTTGTTGCTGTCACCCACTGTGGGGATTCAGGGAAGCCATACGGCCCTGCATGCAGACCGTCAGCGAGGGGACGCAGTCACATCTGCGTGGCAAGACTCAAATGACCAAGCATTTTCCGGGCAGTGAACAAGCTGAGGCCTAATGATTCTGAAGGGAGACAGTCGTCGTGATGGGTGTGAGGCGGCCCTGAATTTAAATCTTAGCTCTGTCAGCCTGTGCAGCGTTGGGTAGATTACCCAACCTCGCTGAGCCTTCATATTACCCCATAGTCAAAGTTAAATATGGCAATGTGTGTAGGGCACCTAGCACATAGGGAGCTCAATAAATGGTTCTTCCTTTTCTAAAGAATGCAGTGTTTTTCAGGGGTGTGACCTACGGGGAGCAGAAAGGAAGGCTCCCCTCCCAGCGGCCTTGGTTGCACGTTGCACTAACCTGAACCAGGCCCATTTGCACTGCCATTTACTTTTCTGGGTGGGGTTTTCTTCCAGATCCCCCACCTGAAAAGGGGACACATTAAGGATTGTGGACATTTCACACAGATGGAGAAGTAAGGAGATGGAGGGTCCCTCGGTGCGGGGGGTGGGGGTGGGGTCAGGGCTTCCTGCTCACCTTCAGGAAAGGCGTCCGGGGGTGGCCATTTGCGCCATCCCCTCAGCCTTCATGTGAGTGAGGGGTCCGGACAAGTGCGAATTGCCTTTTATTTCCTTTCCAGGCCCACCGAATTGAATCGGATCCTCGTTGAGTGGCTAGAAACCGATGCCAGGGACTCGCCGCGGGTCTCGAAGCTTTAGGGCGATGCGTGCCGGCCCCCAGCAGGCACGCCAGCACCTTCGTGGGCTGGACCGCTGCTCTGGGTGCCCAGACGGGGCCTTACCTGCGTCCCTGAGAACCAGCAGCCTGTTCCGAAGGGGTTTGCAACAAAGAGTGATTTTCTTTAAATAAAAGAGACAAATTTGACATAATTTTAGATAGAGAAAAAATAACGTGATTAATTCCCTGGATATAAATGCATCTCTGTATCTCTCAGCATGGTTAGTGTTCTGTGGACGGGGGCAAAATGGGATGGCCGGGGTGATTTCTCTTTGACTAACCAATTCATAATTTTGAAGCAAATTCATGGTTTAATCAGCAGTTAATTTTGAAACATCTCCACAGAGGTTGGAATGGCTTTGCTCAATAAATCTAAGATGATTGTGACACTGCCGCTTGTGTTCTTAGGAGCAAGGCAGAGTAATTGTTCGAAGAACTTCCCTCTGGCCTCACCTGCCACTTGCCACATCCAGAAGCCATCTCACGGTTTTGTCCCCTACCGTTGTTGCTCCCCCGGAGTTCTCCAGCAGCAGCCTCCTGACGGCCCCCCCCACCCCCCGCCTCCAGGGTGCTGCTGGCCCCTGAGTGACGCCCATCTCCCCAGCTTGTCCCCATCACGCCCTGATTCCTAACTGCCCTCTAGCGTCACCCGTCCCGAGTCCCCACACACAGCACGCTGATTCTCCTTGGCCCTTGGCCTCCGCTTGAGCTAATGGGTCCTCGGGCCTACGGTGTTCCTACCTGCCCTCTCCTCCACCCAGTCCCCAGGCGGGGTCACCTGCGCTTCCTCCCTGCTCCCCTAGCAAGGTTTGCTCGCAGACATATGCACACCTCCTCTGCCACGCTTTCTGCAGGAAAAGCTCGGGGAGGTGGTCTCTCCAAGCTGAATTATGAATTGTGATGAGTGTAAATAACCAGGCGAAAAGGGTATGCGTGTCCATGTGCGTGCAGAAAGCAAAGGGAAGGCCGGAAATGTCCGTGTGGCCATCATTAAGTACGCCTGTGAGCCTGGAGCTTTCCATACGCTGTCTCTCATCCTTCCCATTGAACAGATGGGAAAACTGGGGTTCAGGTAACTTGCCCAGGGTCACAGGGCAAGGGTCCAGATTCAGACACACGCTCTCTGGTTCCAGAGGCCAAGCTCCTTCTACCAAAAACCTTCTCCTTTCTGAGTCTGGAGTCAGACTACCTAGATTAGGCTCCTAGTCTGCCACTTACCGCTGTGACCCTGTGGGCAAACCCGTTTGCCTTGATGGTTAATTTTTCTCTATCTAAAATTATGTGCCTCAGTTTCCTCACCTATCAACAGTGCCAAACTCATAGGTGGTTGTGAGCACTAGTGGGTTAATATATGCTGGGTCTTAGAAAGATGTTGCATAGAGGAAGTACAGCGGAAGGAGTAGCTGTAAGATCTCTCGTCAGTCTCAGCACAAGGCCTGTGAGGGCTTTGAATTTCCACCACCTTCCTTTTGGATCAGAGAATTAAAGGGCTCATTTTAAAGGCGAATGTGTGACCCGAGGGAATGACTACATGTGCCGGATAACGTCAGGGGCCTGATACTGTTTTGTAATATGTCGGAAATAATTTGTGAGGGAGGGGATGGGGGAGAGGAACGGGGACTCTGAGAGCATCCTCCGTGGGAGGAAACACGAGTGGGCAAACTCATTTGTCTCTGTGTCAAATCTTCTATCCAGCAATCCCCATAAACCATCAAAAGCACCTCAGAAATTCTACTCTTTCGGCAAATAAAGGTTAAGTGAATGGAGTCCATAGCATTGCAACAAAAATATAACCAGTCGTACAAGACTGGTGTCATAAAGGACACTAGACTAGAAAAGTTCTTCCGGTTATTCAAGAAAGCATGAGGAATGCCCAGGGCTGTGTGTTCCAGGCCGCTTTGGGGCACTTCAGACCACATGTCACCTGCTGCAACTGTGGGGCCACAGGGCTAATCTCCCCGTAATAGGACAGGGGAGATTTTCAGAAGCCATTTTAAGTACAAGTTACTGGGAGTATGTTCATGTTGATTTAATTACAAAATGTCACTTTTATTTCATCACTACAAAAAAATGTAAATAACAAATGTATTCATCTCTGCTAAGGGAAATCACCTTTTTAAAAATCGCCATGGCAGACCCATATTCCCTCTCTTACCCGCATTCAGCGGGGGCCCGGAACTACCCAGCGGGAGCTGAGGTCGCTCACAGGTCCTATCCTTGCACTTAATGGCTGTCACCTGGCAGCGTCCGAGGTTCCCAGGAGAAATGTCTTGTAAAAGTGAGTCCGGGACGTGGTTCCATAGTGTAGCGGTTAGCACGTCTGCTTTACACACAGAAGGTCCTGAGTTCACGCCCCAGTGGAGCCACGGTCCATGGTCTACGGCCATGTCATCCTGAATAAGCCCGATGTCTGATCTTGGAAGCTAAGCAGGGTCAGGTGTGGTTAGTACCCGGATGGGAGACCACCTAGGAAGACCAGGTGCTGTAGGCATGAAAAATAATACAAAATAAAAAAAATAAAAGTGAATCTGTTAGACGGGACAAAAAGCTGTTTTTGTCTCTGCTGGGGTATAATGAACCCATGGTTTTAGGCCTCGAAGTGACTGTAGGCCAGTGTTCCAGTACCACCTGGAGGAAAAAGTGACAGCAGACAGTGGTTAAAATATCTAGGTCAGAAGCTCAGGGGCTTTTGCAACAGGAATCGGGTGGGAAATACCGTGCTCTGCTGTACCAAGGAGGGGGCTTCCTGCCACACACGACCAAATATCGTCTTAGCAATCGCGGAAGCGTGCCCTGAGCGTTGGCCACTGCACCCGGCAGCTCATTGTCCCCCTGCTAGGCTGTGGGGCCTTGGCATTGGAGGATGCCCGTCTAGGTGATACATCCTTGACCCTCACACAGCACGTGCCTGGCATTTGGGAGATGCTCGTTAGATGTTTGCTGAAGAAATCAGACAAGGAAAGCATAAATAGTTGAATAGAAAAATTAATGTTCAAATTCCTGATTTCGATGTCCTTCTGAGATGGATGCCAACCGCCTGGCTTATTCCCCGTTCCAAGCCTTGGTGGGTCTCAGTGAGTCTCTGCTGCATGAAACACAAGTATAAAAATTACTTTAATGACACAGCTGACGCATTTACTGCTGCTGTAGACATTCCCAGCTTTCACGTTTGTAAGGTACGAGGCGAGTCATCTTGGCAGTTTACCTAAATATGGTTTTTGAGGCTAGTGCCTGCTTTTGAAAGGATACCAATCATGTTCCTACTCTGGTAAGCTCACTTTTTTTTCTTGTGGTAAAATATACATAACATAAATTTTACCGTTTTAACTATTTTTAAGTGTACAGTTAATTCAGTGGCATTAAGTGCATTCACGTTGCTCTGTAACCATCACCACCATCCATCTCCAAAAGCTTTTCTTCCTCCCAAACAGCAACTCTGTCCCCATTAAACACCGACTCCCCATCCTCCTTCCCCATTGACCCCTTGGCCACCCCCATTCTGCTTCCTGTCTCTGAATTTGAGTCCTCCAGCTACTTTGCATAAGTGGAATCACTGTAGTCTTTTTGTAACTGGCTTATTTCACCTAGTGTAAGATCCTCAAGGCTCATCCATATTGTAGCATGTGTCAGAATTTCCTTTCTTTTTAAGACTAGATATTCCATTGTATGTAGATGCCACGTCTTCATCCATTGATGACACTTGGGTGCCTTCCACCTTTTGGCTGTTGTGAATAATGCTGCTGTAAACATGGGTGTGCAAGTATCTCTTCAAGTCCCTGCTTCCAGTTTTTCAGAGTTTATACTCAGAAGTGGAACTTCTAGGTCTTGTGGTAACCTTATGCTTAATTTTTTGAGGAACCACCGTGCTGTTTTTCATAGTAGCTGCACCGTTTTGCATTGCCTCCACATCGTCACCAACATTTGTCATTTTTTTTTTATAATAGCCATCCTAATGGGTAGGAAGTGGCTTTGATTTTTATTGTGGTTTTGATTTTAATTCCTTAATGCTTTGTGATGTCAAACATCTTTTTACATGTTTATTGGCTGTTTGTATATCTTCTTTGGAGAAAGGTTCAATTTCCTTGCCCATTTTTAAATCAGGTTTTTTGTTGTTGTTGAGTTTTAGGTGTTCGTGTGGATATTAATCTCATAAGATATATGATTTGCAAATATTTTCTCCCATTCCACAGATTGTACGCTCACTTTTTAATCAATTTAAAATTAACTCCCATGTGTAAAAGTTCCTACATTAGGACCTACATCTGTTTCTCACGCACTTCGTCACCGTTTTCCATGATGTAAGTGCCAAGTTGAAAGGGCAGAATGTATCAGCAGTGGGGACCTTGTGTGATTATTTGCTTGTGTCAGCATTTGGAAGACAAACAATTCTTTGTTTTTGCAACTCAAGGTAAGAAAATTCCAGAGAAAGTACAAAACGGTGGTCTTTGTTGCCATTTGGGGATGGATATTAGGTTGTTGCCTCTGTCAGTTTTCCGGGGTTCGGATGGAGAAAGCTGTGAGAACAGGGGATATTCTAGACAGTGTCGTGGGGGAGGAAGAAACTCCTCTAGCTTCAAGGTCCTTTTGGCTGGTCTAGTAATCAAATAGACCCGAGACAGATTAGTGAGAGAAATGACCAAATTTCATTATATACCTATCTATGGGAACCCCGCATACATGAGAGAGTCAGAGACCCCATGTGTGTGAGACGTTCCAAGACAGAAAAGGAAGATGGCTATGTAACACCTTCTGAGCTCAGGTCACCATGGAGGAAGGTCATTGTAGGACCATATGAGCAGATATTCAATAATTAGAGGTTTGCCCTGCCCTATAGATAGGTCATGAAAAGTTATCTCTGATAATCTCACTGTGGGTAAGGACCCTAATTCAAATTCTAGATAATTTAGAGGGGTGGGGCAGAAGTTTCTCTTGAGCTTGCAAGGTCTCGATTGCCTTTAACTCAAACAGGCCACATACCACAAGGCATATCTTGGGGGTGACTTGTTCTGAACCCCCAAAGTGCCACCCCACTTAGTCTTATGTGTTGAATGAACTTTATGCCCTACATCATATTTTAACAGAATGAGCTGGCTGAGAGGGACAAGGAGGTAAGATCTGCAGATCAGAACTCATTAAACATTTCCTAATGTTCTCCGTGTTTCAGAGAAATGTGTTACATTATCACGTACAAATTGTACACGAAGAGGCTCCTTCTCACTGATTCATAAGGACAGGAGGGGAAAAGATCAAAAAACGGTTCAGCGACCATCGAAACAGTAACATGAATTTCCCTTGCCAAGAACTGTGTGAAAAAGGTTAAGACTCAGCAATTATTGAATGAGATGCGTCCTTCAGACAAGAAATAGGCAGTAAAACCATCGACCTCA